GGCTGTCACAATTACATTAGCTATAGTTTTTTAAAAAGCGACGTAAGCAATAATATAATAATTGATAACTTAAATAGCGTAAGCGTTAAAAATGCAATTTTTTAAAATAACGCTTAATTAACGAGCGCTACGGATTAAAATGCATATAGCCTTAAAGTAGTCGTTATATAGCAATTAATTTCGAACGCCGTCGAAAACTTTTTTAATTCGTTTATATTCTTCGGCGTTTTTATTGCGTAAAAAATAAATAGCGATGACTTTAATAATAAATTAATCGTAAGCCGAAAAAAAGTCTTTAGCGTTTATATTCTTTTTTGCGCATTCGGCCCGCAAAAACTAATCGTATTATAAGATCAAGTCATTTTCCTTTTTTAATTTATTATTAAAATCGAAGATTGCTACTTTAAGTATAGCTAATTAACTAAAGTTGCTTATTTAGCGATAAGTTTAAAAGAACTTATTAAAAGTCTTAATAACTCGTCTTTCGAACTTTAGCTCGAAACTCGATTATCGAATTAAAGCAGCTTGCTCTTCGCTTATTAATAAATTAAAAGGTGCATCTCGAATAAAAGCTTTTTTTTTAGCGGCGGCTAACTTAAAAAGCATATTTAATTCGTAAATTACGGTTTACGAGCTAAATATAAAATAGCGGAATAAAGCTAATAATAATAATAATTAATTAAGTAATAATTAAAATCGTTAATATTAACGTAGTATTATATAGTTATAAAAAAGAAATAATAATAATATTATTATAGTTGTTATTATATAAAGAAAGAAAAAATATTAAGAAAAAAGAAAAGGAGCTTTCTTATATAAGTACATTTGTAAAGAGGACCTATTCTTTTTAATAGCAATTCACTTTCGAATACACGTGGTTAAGCACGCTTAAAATAAAGGAACAATTTTAAATAAGAAATAAGAAATAGCCGTATAAGCTTAAATAAGTGAAAAAAAACAATTAAATAATAAGAATAATTTATATAAGATAAGTGAATAGCTAATAAGGTGAAAGGAATAAAGAAAAAATAAAAAATATAATGAAAAGCAAGTCTAAAAGTAAAAGAACAAACGTAAGAAATACTTTTCCTTACTAAAACAAAAAAAGTAATTATTAAAGCACGTCCTTTTATAAAATAAGTATAAAATAAAAAAAGGATAAGAAAATAAGAAAAACAAAGTAAAGGAAATAAACTAAAAAACAATTTTATAAACTAGTTTTTATTCCTTCGAAAGTATTAAGAAAATGATTTAAAAATTAATAGATTTAAATCTAAAGATCACTTTTAAATTAAATAGTTTACTTTTGCCGTCGTCGAAAAGCTCGTATTCGCTAAAATTTAAGTTATTCGAAGAATCCGAATCTTTTTCTTTTTTTTTTCGTCGTTTTTATTAAAAGGAAAAAAGGTTTAATCGCAGCGATAAAATCGCTTAAAGCGGTTAGCTGCAAAAGTGCTTTTAAGCTTAATCTTATCGGTTTCTTAAAGTTTATAATATTTTTTATCGTAAGCTTTAAAAACGATATAAAGTCTTAGTTATTTGTAATTTAACTTAATATTCGCGGACATATTGATGCTTCGTTTAACGTCGTAAAAGAGTATTAAATCTTTCTTTTTAATAAGTTCCGATTTTAAGATCTTAATTCGTTTTTAAATAGCTTTAATAGCAAATCGATAGCGCTTCTTTTTTAAAATGATTTCGTCGATATCTTCGTCTCGAAGTTTTAATTATCTAAACTTTATAATAAGCAAATCAGCGCGAGATCGAACCTTTTGCTAAAATAATAACTTTTAAATTAATTATTATAATTTCAAAAGTAGTTTAGCTTTTCGTCCGTAATTTAAAAAAAAAAAGTAACTTTAATAAATGCGTATATCGATATCCGAACCGCAAAAAGCATTTTATTAAATTTGCGAATTTAATTTTTAAATCCTCCGTTTATAACCTTCGATAAGCTATTTAAAATATCTTTATAGCTTTTCTTAATTATTCTATTAACCTTTAAATTATAGCTTAAGATTTAAATCCTTTTAATCTCGTACTTAATAGCGAAGGCCTTAGCAATTGCTTTGTTTTCGAATCTTTTATCGATAATCAATCTTTTAAATAGTTTATAGCGGCAAACGATATCTTTTTAAAAGAACTTAATAATAGATTCGGCGTTAGCTAATCGAAATGATCGCCTCTTTAACTATTCAAATAAATCTTTTTTAATTAAAACGAAGCAGGTTATTCTTTTATCGATAATAAGTATTCGTAATACGTTTAAGCTAACTTTTGATTATATTTGCGTAAACTAAATCGAATATAAAAGGTTTTCTATTCGTTTAACTTTGCGTTTTTAATAAAGCTTATAGCTTTAAACGAAAGCTTTATAATCTTCGTAGCATCCATTTTAAAAGAAAAGTTTTAATATACGATAATAAATTGATTTAGCTTTTTTATATTCGAATTCTCGATAAGCGTCGGAAATAGCAATATAGCGTTTTTAAATTCCGTCGATAATTAGCTTGGTCGAGTAAAAATTGTTTGCTCGCTTATAAAAGTAATTATTTTTAATTAAGTAGTTGAATGCTTTATTTTAGAATTTCTAAAAGTCGTAAGTCTTGATCGAGGAAAGGCGTTTAAAAATAATAAAGAATTAAGCAATAAGCTTAAAATCGAGCGAATAATCGTGCTTTAAAATTTTTTTTTAATTTGTAAATCATAATTCACGAGTCGTTTAATCGAGAATACTAAAATAATGCTTAGCTCGTTAATAACTTAATCGTTAATATCTTTTTCTTTTTTCTTTTTAATATTTAAAAGATGCTTTCTTCTTCTTTTAAAAAGACCGTCCGCTATCGTATTTTTAATTTTAAAAATATACTTAACTTTAAAATCTATTAATTTTATTTACGCAATTTAATTCGTAACGAAAGCTTTAAGCAAGTCGCTTATTAATCTATTAAGTTAATCAATTAATACTTTAACGTCGGTTTTTAAAATAAAATAAACTCTATATAATTCGCTTTTTATCTTTTTTATAGCTTTTAAAGCATCGCGGCATTCTCGCTTAATCGCGTCGTATTTGCTTTTCGCAAAATTCTAAAGACCACTTTCGAACTTAATAAGATATCGCTTTTTATTGAAATCCTTTTGCTATAATACTGCTTTTTATTTTTTAAGATTAGCGTTTATCGTTAAGTAAATTTTCCTTCTTTTTTTATTATAATCGATTTTAATAAAAGCGAAAGCAAAAAGCAAAGCTTTCTTAAGCAGCCTTATCGCTTCTTGTTAAAGCTTTAATTATTTAAATTCGACCTTTTTTCTTATAATCGCGTAAATTAAAATAGCAATTATAAAGAAGTTTTTAATTTAAATTTTATAATAAATTACGATCTTAATAAAAGCTCGGGCTTTCGATATATCTTCGCATTTAATCTATTTTAGTATCTTTTTAATTTTAGCGGTCTAAAAGTAACGTCTTTCGCTATCCGTAACGAATCTAACGATATTAAAGCCGAGCATATAATATTAAAACTTAATTCCGACGGTCGTTTTAGCTCTTTTAAATCTTACGAGCACTTTATCGATATTTTATATATATTTTAAAACGAATTATCGAATTTTAAGCAAAACTTTCTTGTAATTATAAAAAGATCGCGATTTTTTAACTTTTACGTTATTTATATAAAGCAAGCAAACGTTAAGAATGCAATTTATAAAAATTTTATAAATAACTTTAACGAATTAAGCGATCGAATTAATAGCTTTTATAAGTATTCGAGTTATTCGAAGCAATTTGATAAGCGTTTAAATAGCTATTATATCTTTAGACTTAACGTCGAAAAAAAATTAATCGTATTTAAAAAAAAAATTTAAAAATATAACTATCGTAAAACTAGCAAATTCGTTCGAGAACTAATCTACGTTTAAAACAATATTAACGTCTTTAACCGTTATACGGTTCATTTTAATTACGGCAATGATTAGCTTATATTTTTTTTTTTTTCTTTATTATAATAAACCATTTATTTTAATAAAAGCTTTAATATAATTCGAAGACCTTTTGCTTTAATCGTTCTTTTAGCATAAAGATAATCATTTCTTGCAAAGCTTTCGATATCGTAAACGTTTTTTTTTGCTAAGCTTCGTAAGATACCGTCTTAATCTTTTAAAATAGTATAACTTCTTTTCGAACTTAATTAAAATAAATAAAATTTTAAATCATCGCTTTTTTTCGATTTAAAAAGCATTAATAAAGCAGCTCTTTTTCTTTCGAAGTAACTTAAAAGCTAATCGTAAGTGCTTTAAATCGTTTTTTCGTTAATCTTAATTTAATTTTTAAATTTAAAAACTTATTAATAAAGTATTTCGAAAAAGGTCTTTTAAGCTTAAAAAGTTTCGCTTTTTTATCTTACTTAAATCAATCGTCGATTTTTTTAAGTATTTTTCTATCCGATACTTTTGAATCTACCGGTTTAACTTTCTTCGCCTTTTTTTTATATATCGTATTAACTTTTATTATATTCTCTTTTAAAAGGTCTTTATCGTTATCGATAATAAATATAAAATTTTTCGATTTATCGAGTTTAA